AGAAAGAAAGAAAGAAAGAAAGAAAGATAGATCTGGAAGGTACACACCAAAAGTATTTTACCTTCGGGTGGTGGTTAATTTTTTTTCCTTTTCGGGATTTTCCAAATTTTCTGTATGAAATCCTAGTTTAATAATTCATTATATTGGAGCGCCTGTGTGGCTCAGTCAGTTAAGCATCCAACTTTGGCTCAGGTCATGATCTTATGGTTCGTGGATTTGACCCCTTATTTGGGCTCTGGGCTAACAGCTCAGAGCCTGCTTCAGATCCTGTCACCCTCTCTCTCTGTCTCTTTCCTGCTCACGTGTTCTTTCTCTCTCTCAAAACTAAACATTTTAAAGTAATAATAATTTGTTATATATACTATTCGTATACAAGTGTTACATATGTAGTAATTTTTTGCTTATGTAACTATATTAATGCAGAAATATGCATCAAGTGTCTGTTATATGCTAGGCACTGCTCAGGTGCAGGGGAGACAGCAAGGGAGACAATACAGACAAGGTTCCTGCTCTCAGAATTTACAGAATTTATGTTCCAGGGATGCAGGGTAGAAAGTGATAATAAAGAGACAAGTGAATGAACAAAATAATTTTACTTAGTGATAAGTTCTATGAAAAAAGTAAACAGGGTAGTGTTAGTGACTGGGTTAGAGGATACAACTCTAGCTACAGGGGTCAGGCATCTCTGAGGCCTTTTGAGCTGAGAGGTGAATGACAAGGAAGAACAAGAAGGTGAAAAGCCTACCAAGCAGATACAACATGAAGTACACAGGCTCTGAGATGGAGGTGAGCTTGTTGAGTGTGATACACAGAAAAGGGGCCAGTATGGAGGAAGAAGGTAGGCAGGGAGACTGAGGATAAAGACGGGTCTGATACTGTAGGCCCAGTAGACCATGTTAAGGAGTTTGGGCTTTATTCTAATTGCAATGAGAAGCCACTGGAGGGTTTTAAGCATGTGACTGATGTAGTCTGCACTATGTGTTAGATCACTCTGGCAGCTGAGTGGAAAGTGAATTTTAGGGGGCAAAACCATGAAGAGGCTGCTGTAGTAAATCCAAAGGCCTGGACTAGGGTGAGTGGGAGAGATGGCTAGAATGGTCAGACTCTAGGTACAGTACAGGTGACAGAATGTGCTAAACAGACTATATGTGGGGTAAGGGAGAAAGCAATCTAGAATGACCCTTAGGTTTAAGTATAAGCAAAACAGGGACTTTCTTTGGAGTTTATGTATTAAAAACCTTCAGTAGACAGAAGAAAAGAATGTGAAATTGAAATTCATTCCCTTAATTTCTACCTCTTTTCCTCTAGGTGAACATTTTTACCTTCTTTTTTTTTTTTTTTTCAATGTTTATTTATTTTTTGGGACAGAGGGAGACAGAGCATGAACGGGGGAGGGGCAGAGAGAGGGAGACACAGAATCGGAAACAGGCTCCAGGCTCTGAGCCATCAGCCCAGAGCCTGACGCGGGGCTCGAACTCACGGACCGCGAGATCGTGACCTGGCTGAAGTCGGACGCCCAACCGACTGCGCCACCCAGGCGCCCACATTTTTACCTTCTTAAAGCTTACTCTCACAAAGTAACAGTGCCTTATATTACCAAAAAATAAATAAAAATTTTGATTGTAAAATATGAAGTATTTATTGCTCCTAAGAAGACTTTCTCCTAAGCTAGGGATACTAGCTTAATAGAGTTGCCTGTTAGAGGGGATGTGGTGGAAACAAGAAGAAACATCTACTTGGGCACAGAGCAGAGATGTACCCATGATTTACCCTGGACCTGGCCATATCCTTATGAGAAATATTTACTGGTTAGGAAACTAACATTTATATTAATTAAAGAAAAAATCACTTATATAAATCTCACCCCTAGAACATCTTCCTTCTTTCTCTTTCCACACCTTCCAAAAGGGATTAATAAGGAAAAAAAAAACACACAAAAAACTACAGGATAGCCATGATTTCAAAAGACTTCATTTTCATACACAATAAAGACTTATGCTGTTACCTTGACCTCCTGCCAGTAGGGCCCCCCACGGGTGAACATGAAGTAACTGTACATTTGATTCTTCCTCTGGATTATATCCGTGTCCTGTCTAATATTCACCATCCAAGGCCGACCATCTCCACGTACACGGAGATACAGAGTGTTGAACTGGGACCAATCATAAGACCTCTTTCTCTCGAAAGGGCCCTAAGGTGCAGAAAGGAAAATTAAGTTCATCTCATTTTCCACCACTAGCAAAATTAGTCATCTTTTGAAGTATCGAAAGGATCCACTGGCATTTTTCTACCTAGTTTGCCCTTCTACCATAAGGAGGCAGATAAATCTGGGGATTATTTTTTTAGCATAAAATACTGACATAGTATTTATGTTTCTCTTTTTTTTAATGGTCACTTATTTTGAGATAGAAAGCATGTATGCGTGCACAATTGGGGGACAGGCAGAAAGAGAGAGAATCCCAAGTAGGTTCCACACAGCACAAAGCCCAACGCAGGGCTCAAACTCTTAACCTGAGCCGAGATCAAGAGTCAGACGCTTAACCAAATGCACCCCCCAGGTGCCCCGTATTTATGCTTCAAAGGTAATGTTCAGGACATGATTGGCCCAGGACAGTGTTGATATGTGGTAGGCACTCATATGTATCAATGAATGGAAATGAATTGCTGTATGTACCTTTTTTTCCCCTGGTCCTATCAAGTAATGGATTCTGAGTGGGCAGTGACAGCTGCCTTCCTATAAATCAGAAAACTATGAAAGAGCTCGAGTTTTAAAATCGCTCTTTTATAACAATAGCTACCACCCACTGAAAACCTACATAAACACTGTGAATGCATAATTTCATCCTCACAGCCCTCTGAGATAGGTACTATCATTGTGTTCCAGCTTACAAATGAAGAAACTGAGCACTCAACTAGGAAATGGTAGATCCAGTGCCATTTAATTCCAAAATCTATATTTAAAAAGAAAAAAAAATTTTTAATGTTTATTTATTTTTGAGAGAGAGAGAGGAAGACACAGAATCTGAAGCAGGCAGCAAACAGCCCGATGCAGGGCTCGAATTCACGAATTGTAAGATCATGACCCGGGCTGCAGTCACTCAACCAACTGAGCCACTCAGGTGCCCCTCCAAAATCTGTATTCTTAACAACTACCTATACTGTCTCTCATGGAAAATGGAATTTAGTGTTAATTTAAAAAGGTGTTTATTTACAGCATTCTCAAAGGTAATCTGATTTCGAGAATAGCAGTGCTCAGATATGAACTATCTTACTTACTAGCTGTGTAACTTTAGACAAGTTGTTAACTCTCCCAAAGCCTCAGTTTCCTCATCTATATAATTAGGATGACCACACTTTACAGGATTGTTGTGAGGAATTAAAGGGATATATGTATATATGTGTATGTACATATATATATGTGTACATACATATATATGTATACATATATATGTATATATGTGTATATATGTATATGTACGTGTGTGTGTATATATATATATATATATATATATACACACACACACACACACAAAGTAGCAAGAGGACTGGCAAGGCACACTTAATAAATTGTATCGCCTATTTTCATTACTCCCCAGTGTTTATCCAGCCATTGAATTATTTTCTACTGTGGAATGACCAAATCCATTCTGTGGATTTCAGGCACTGGAAAGAAAAAAAATCTTTATATGCATACTTGTCTCTGAAAGAACACATACCTTTCTTTCTCATCATTATCTGGAGAGAGGGACCCTGGTAACTAACATTTGCCTTTCTCCTTAGAGTACAATAGCCAAGCAAACATCCAGAGGCTATGGCCAAGGCCAGGCATGAGAGCCTGTCCAGGTAGCCCTGAAACAACACCCAGTCAGCAAATTTGCAAAAAGCCATAGACTGGTTGTGAGACAAAGGAGCTAACCTAAGTAACTCTAGAAAATAATGCTCTGATGGGAAACTGTAAAACTAAAGACAAAGGAAACTATGTATACCCAGTGTACTCTAGTCGGTAAAGTTGTTTCTCACAGGGTTATGGGTTAAAAGTTCTGAAACTGCTGGGGCGCCTGGGTGGCTCAGTTGGTTAAGCATCCAATTTTGACTCAGGTCATGATCCCATAGTTTGTGATTCTGAGCCCTGCATCAGACTCTGTGCTGACAGCTCAGAGCCTGGAGCCTGCTTCAGATTCTGTTGTCTCCTTCCCTCTCTGCCCCTCCCCTGTTCACACTCTCTTTCTCTGTCAAAAATAAACAAATATTAAAAATAAATAAGTTAAAAAATTTTTTTTAATTAAAAAAACTTAAAAGTTCTGAAACTGTTTTGCATGTACACTGGGGTTGAATTAACAGGTTAAGTTGATGGTAACTAATGGGAGACAGGTTTCTCACATTATTACAGTACGAAGTTATAGGTAAGAGGGAGAAGCTGAAAATGAACCACATGGTACTATATTAGAGTCAGCACGGTATGAACTCCTATTTGGCTTGTACAGAAATAGTTACAGACGTGTTTCCACGATTGGTATACATCCCTGTATTTCCTGCTGTGTCCATTGAGAGGTCCTGGAAGTACTGTCAACCCAGTAGCAACAAGCATACTCAGCACCCAGATCTGGGTTTCTAATACCGTTCTCCAAAAAAAGGCATCAGGGCTCTTTTGGGAAATGGCTAGTTCTAGGTCTGGGACAGAGAAAATACAAAATGTGCTTAGGGCATCTTATAGTGCCAGAAAGTTCTAAAAAACAAAAAAATGGAGGCATGTCAAAAGGATAAAAACCAACTTGAAAGAGCTTCCAATGGCCAAAGCTGGAACAATTTGAGCAACAAAATAAATAACATAGCACTGGATTATAACCCGAAGTACGAGTCCATACAAAATGACTGGCTGACTAAATAAAGTCGGAGAAAAACAAAACTTCTTCTCTGAAGAATACCCAATAATATATGAAAATACCATCCCTTTAAGGAGACAGAACTTAACCCCATGCCCTGCTCCCATGCCTTGAATGTAGGATGCTCTTAGTGACTTGCTTCCAAAGAAGAGTATGGAAAGAAGAAAAACAAATAGTAACAACAGAGTAATCTGGCAAACCCTATCCTGACCAGGGGATCAAGGTTAACACATCAATGATAAGTCACATTGCTAGCATGTACTCCTGATATGATGTGATGAAAACAGTACTTCAGCTCTGTGGTATTCTTCCTAAAAAACCAAAAACCCAGTCTTACAAGGAGAAAAAAACATCTGAAAATCCCAAATTGAGGATTATTCCACAAACTACCTGACCAGGATTTCTCAAATCCTCAGGAAAAATAAGGAAAGACTAAGAAACTATTACATGGTAGAGGAGCCTAAGGAGACATGACAACTAGATATAATGTGGTGTCCCGGCTGGGATCCCGGGACAGAAAAAGTACAAGTGGAAAAACTACTGGAATACAAATAGTGTCTGGAATTAGTTAATAGTAATGTACCAATGTTGGTTTCCTAATTGTGACAAATGTACGAAAGCAATGTAAGATAGCAACAATTGGAGAAGGTGGGTGAGGGGCATATGGAGCCTTCTGTACTATCTGCACAATTTTTCAGTAAAACTAAAACTTTTCTAAAATAAAAAAGTTTACTTAAAAAAACAAATAAAAACTACATGCTGACCCTACATCCACCCTAATGAATCTCTGGCCATCACAGGGACTGTGGTCTATTAGAGAAGACGCATATCTCCCGAGATCATTGTTCAAATGTCTGACTTCTCAGAGCTCCTCAAACATAAGAATGTCCCACCCTGACCCAAAGTGATGCCCAGAAACAAGTGCCCCCTCCTCAGGAACCGCTTCCCCCTTATGCTTTTGCTTTACACCTGTGCCCCGTAGTTACTTAACCCCACTGACACAGATGACCTACCAGGTGTTTTCACTCATAGAAACAAAAGCTATCTGTAGGGGCAACTGAGTGACTCAGTTAAGCATCCAACTCTTGATTTCGGCTCAGTTCATGGTCTCACAGCTCCTGAGTTCGAGTGGCGCAATAGGATTCTCTTTCCCTCCCTTTCTTTGTGTCCCTTCCCCACTCGAATTCTCAGTCTCTCAAAATAAATAAACCTCAAAAAAAAGTATTTTGTTTAAAAAACAAAAAAAGGGGCGCCTGGGTGGCGCAGTCGGTTAAGCGTCCGACTTCAGCCAGGTCACGATCTCACAGTCTGTGAGTTCGAGCCCCGCGTCAGGCTCTGGGCTGATGGCTCGGAGCCTGGAGCCTGTTTCCGATTCTGTGTCTCCCTCTCTCTCTGCCCCTCCCTCGTTCATGCTCTGTCTCTCTCTGTCCCAAAAATAAATAAACGTTGAAAAAAAAAATTAAAAAGAAAAAAAAATAAATAAAAAACAAAAAAAGCTATCTGCTACAGTTCATACTACAATGAAATTCACCCCCGTTCACTGGAAAACTGAGGCTCTGGGACTTCACTTACCCTTGGAATCCTGGATACCATTGCACAGTACCCACTGCGGCCACTTTCCCCATCTTTAGGCGCCTCAGAGCTCAGAGTTCCATACAGCAGTGCACTCTGATTATTCTTGCCCATTTTCAGGAACACTTCACTTCTGCCTCCAATTGTCTTATCAGAAGTCACCATCCACTTATCTAAGTCCTCTTTTCCACGGAATTGCCAAACAACCTTGGCTTGTTCCAGCAAGACCTCATGCAGAGGGCGGCCTTCAGGGCCGATCCAATAATTCACAATATCATCCTTCAAACGCCTACAGTGGTTCTTTATTTCATCTTTAATTGCCTTATCAAAACTAACTTCCGGCTTTTCCTCTGGAGAGGTTATATCCAAAGCAACTTCTCTCTGGTGATGTCCTTGCAAATCCCCTTCAGTATTCCTTTGAGAGGAGGTTTTGCCAGGAGCAGCCACAGGTTTCTGAAGACTACTAGAACAATAGTCTGCAAAGCGATTACCCAAAAATGGACATGAGGAAACACTTGGCTTCAGGCATTTTCTGAAAATATAAGCGCTACTCAGAAACTTGTGAACCAAAGCCATAGTAAGATAAAATGTAAATTTCTCCCTGGGCTACAAAGGAAAGAAGCTTCAGCAAATAGCTCAATTCCACCTAGAAAGGAAAAGACATTGAAGAGTTACCAGGGTAGCAATGACTGCATCACAATTTCAAATTCAACAAAGACATGTGTTGTGAAATTCATGAGCTTATTTTCTAATTCTATAAACACTTCCCCAGGGCCTACTATGAACATAAGCCTGTTTACGCAGTATATAAAGAAAGTATCCCCCTGCCTCGTGAAAAAATGAGAAGAGGAAGAGAAACACAGGCCCCCTTCATGGAGTTAATTATTACCTCAAAATAATTCAAGTATGTACTTCAAAAGGCTGTATTGACCTTAAACCAAATTTTTATGCTGATTCTTATTTTTTTATTTTTTTAATTTTTTAAAGATTATTTACTTTTTGAGAGACAGAGCATGAGTGGGGGAGGGGCAGAAAGACAGGGAGATACAGAATCCAAAGCAGGCTCCAGGCTCTGAGCTGTCACCACAAAGCCCGACGTGGGGCTCAAACTCACAAACCTGAGATCACAACCTGAGCCCACGTCGGACGCTTAACCGACTGAACCACCCAGGTGCTCTTATGCTGGATTTTTAAAGAAATCATTGATACCTAAAATAAAATACTCAACTAATTCACTCCAAGACCTAGGATAACTGACAACATTTTAGCACTTCATCTATACAAACAGGGACTACAGGGTACATTGTATGTGGAGTCAGAAAACATGCCCACTTATTAGGTTATGAACATTGTGACTATTGGCAATTTCATATGGCTAAACCTAATAAAGCTCTTTATCCTCTGGTAAAGCTATTAATCTTTTGAAGCCTCCATTTCCTCAGGGGTAAGGCTGTGTTAACACCTCCTCTACTTACCATAAGGTATTCTTCTGAAGATCAGATGGAAAGAAGGCTACAAGAGCATTCTCTGATCCAGTAAGGTTTTCAAACCACCTGGCATATATTATCTCATTTAAGGCACACAAGGCTCCTGTAAGACAAGCCAGGAAGATATTTCCTTTCTCTAGGAAATAGACACCAACAGGTGAAATGATTTGCCTAAGCTCACACTTCTAATCAGCATGGAAGCTAGAATTAGAACCCTAGCCTTGAGTCCTTCCACTAAATGCTGCTGCTTCTAGTAAAAACATCAGCAACACAAGTTCTATTGCTCTAGTAAAATAACAACTTTGGCTAAACAGTTCTCTCTCCTACTTACTCCAGCTACCCCTAAGAGGAAATAAAAGATGCAATGCCAATTTCTTTGTCTTTCTCCTATCTTGGCCCAAAGACCAGGAGAAAGGAAAAACAAAAACAAAAATTCATCCACTAGTCAGAACATGATGCTGAATGAGGAAATAAACAGAACACTAAAAACTTAAAAGAAAAAAAAAAGCCTCAAAAATGCCAAAATCCAACAATCTGGCTCACCTGCTTCAACTGCCTAGTAGTCTACAACTAAATGGTGCCCAGACCACCCTAACTACAACCAAGGAGTGGTCAATCTTCTAGAGTGCCCCTCCTCCCTCACTCCTCACATCAGGGGAATCACCACTTTCTTTCTTCTAGAACACTGCACTCTGCTCCCTGCCTCCAGGCTTGCTGCCACCACCTCTACCTCATCCCACCTCTCAGCATCTAGAAGGGCCTAAAACATAAAACTGATCACTTATCTTCTCTGATTAAAACACATGTGGGACTCCCTCATGGTCTTCAGAATAAAGGCCAACTTTCTCCACAGGGTCTAAAGACTCCACATCTGGCCTCCATTCATCTCCCCAACCTCACCTCTAGTCACATCCCACTCTCTACTCCAATCCTGGCTAAACACCTGTGGTCCACCAAGTGCCAACCAGTACTCCCTTCTCTGGGCTTCAGTCTTTGGCTGATTGCTGTTCCTAGGCCAGGAATGCCCTCCACAGATTTTGCCTAGCTACCTTATCCTTTGGAACTCAGCTTCAACATCCCTTACCCCTCCAAGAACCCTTCCTTGACGATTCAACTTCACCAGCACCTGCATCCCTCTAATGTAATCTTACTGCATCCTGGGCTTACACTTTCCCTACTACAGTTTACTGCAATTTCTTCATTAGTCTCTTCCATCAAGACACTCCAGTCTGGCGAGGGAGACCATCCTCACTGTGGTACTTCCAGCTCCCAGGATGGTGCCAGGCATGCAGGAGACTTGTAATATATGTTAAATAATACCTCCACAATTCCCCACTTCCTCAACCAGTGTCTTGGTTCAGGGTCTTATTGCTTCTTACCAGGACTACTGTAACTTCCCAACAAAGGGCTTCTCAAACTTTAAGTGCCTATGAATTGGGGCATCTCTGTAGCTCAGTGGGTTAAGCATCCAGCTTTTGACTTTGGCTCAGGTCACGATCTTGCGATTCATTAGTTTGAGCCCCGCATCAGAATCTGTGCTGACAGCTAAAAGCCTGGAGCCTGCTTCGGATTCTGTCTGTCTGTCTGTCTGTCTGTCTCTCTCTCTCTCTGCCTCTCCCCCACTTGTGCTCTGTCTCTCTCTCTCTCAAAAATAAGCATTAAAAATTTTTTCTTAAATCACTTTAAAATGCAGATTCTGATTTAGTAGGTATAGGATAAGGCCTGAGATTCTGTATTTCTAACAAGCCCCCAAACGATGCCCTTGTCATTGGTCCATAGGATACTCTTTAAGTAGCAAAATTCGAACACATCTCCTTGACTCTGATCTCCTCTACTTCTCCCGATCTATCCTTTGACAGGCAACAAAAGGGATTTGTCTAAATCTGACTGCACTCCCCTTATAATAAGTCAGCAATTCCTCCCCAGAAATTCAAACACAAGGCCCTCCAAAATGTGCCCAAGTCCCGATCTATTGCCTCATATCCATGGGCAATAACCTCAGCTCCATCAAGACCAACTGTAGGGGCACCTAGGTGGCTCAGTCAGCTGAGCGTCCAGCTCTTGATTT